TATATATATATATATATATATATATATATATGTACATATGTATATATATATATCTTTCTTTTGATCTATAGATCTCTCCCTCTCCCCCTCTCTTTCACTTCTCGCGTTCCTTCTTTTCTTGTTTCTTATCACCCATCTCTCATCCCTGCATACTCTACTTATCTTTCTCAATCTCCTTCCTGATCTCTCGTTGTAGTGTGCGTATCACAATATGCGGTGTTGTATGTTAAAGTCATTATTCTGTCGTGTTGCCCTCTATGTAACGTTTTGCAATCGGTTTTACGTGTCAGTGACATCGTCATTGCAGATTCGCGATGCGACCATCTACATTAGAACTGTGTCCATGTCGCGCTCTATGTAACGTATCTCACCCCATCATCCTCACGCGTCCGTGACTTTCTCGTTGCAGGTTCACGATGCCCGTGGACTGCGGCTTACGCTCGGCCAGTCCGCCCTTTTACGACCTCCTCTCGTTCTCGTCGCCTAACCTCATGATGCCGGGCGGTGCGATCGACATGACCGGTTACCCGCACAACGGCTACAGCGTCTACCACCGCGCCGACTTCCCCTACGACCGCTACTGGAGCAAGGAGCCCAGCATCGTTGCCGCACTTCCGGCAAAGTCCGCTCTCTACTGCCACCACGCCGAGGTTCCCGTCTCTGGAGAGAGAAAAGATTTCTCGCGCGTCGTCGCGGGGCGGAGGAAGAAGCGCGTGCGATTCGCCGACGACGACGGGCTCGCGCTCGAGACCGTGCGTGTGATGAGCGAGCCGTCGCAGTACCCGCCGCGTCTCGACGCCGACACGCTCGCGTTGGCGCGCGCCGGCGCCGCCGCCTCGGCGACCCTCGACGAGACGTGGCGCCTCGCGTTCGAGCCGCCGGCCGCCGCCGACTACTGCGCGTTCCGGCGGTCGCTCGCGTCGGCGTCGGCGTGCCTCGAGCACGTCTCCGTGAGCGAGCACGCGCTCGCGGGCACGGCGAAGGTGCGTGACGTCGCGTACGAGAAGGACGTCGGTGTTCGCGTGACGTTCGATTCGTGGGGATCGCACGTCGACATCCCCGCGTCGTACGTCAACGACGGCGGCGTCGCGATCGCCGGCCCCGGCGGCGGCGCACACTTCAACACGTTCTCCTTCGTCGTCCACATCCCGCCGGAGGCGGAGGACGCCGACGCTCGCATCGAGTTCTGCGTGTACTTCCGCAGCGGAGGCGAAGAGCACTGGGACAGCAACGGTGGTGAGAACTACGTTCTGCTGCCAACGGCGAAGCATAGACGCGCGCCGCGCGACGATGCCCGACTCTCGCCGCACACAGACGTTCTCTTGTTGGGCGACATCGGCCCCGACTTTGCCATATGGAACATGCTGGACACGTCGCGGCCGTACTGGTAGTCGTGGCGACGCTGGGTGGTTGGCTGGCTGTCCGGTGCGACGTGCCGAGAATTGTTCTCAAGGGAGTGATTTTCACTTTGGAGATTATGCTGAGGCGGAGATTTGGTTTCTACAGGATGTGATTTATATTTATCGACATATCGCGCGTGGGCGTGCACGCGCGAGACAGTTGTTTGTAGTCGTTGATTTCATTCGTGTGTACAATAGCACCGTTTGTAATATTCTCAGGAAGTGAGACACTGACAAGAATTTTTGTATACAGGCCTACTTTAGTAGCGCGTATGTTCCACGTTGGACGTACGGATCCCAACATGACTGTTCTATCTCATTGTCAATAGATTTCGTTTGGTTTCGTTTTAAAAAAAATGAATATGTTGTACATACATTAATTTTGGTGGTTGAAATGCGGCGTGACGTAATGTAAGGTATATCTATAGCATGTCTGTACATAGGGTGAGAGTGTGCAATCAAAAGCGCCGAAACGTCTTTTTGCGATGAATGCGCAACAATGCAGTGATGCTGCAGATTTCGAGTAGTATTTGTGTCAAGAATCATGATCGTCATCAATGCGGTTCTGCGGTCTCTACTGAGGCTACTGTGACTACTGTGACTAATTTAGTTGTGTGTGTAGCGGAGGCATGGTCCGTGTCCACTGGCCATAGATATACTGCCACTACCCCCGTGTGTGAAATGGAGGCCTGGACCGTGTCCACTAGTCGTAGATATACTGCCACTACCCCCGTGTGTGTAGCGGAGGCCTGGACCGTGTCCACTGGTCATAGATATACTGCCACTACCCCCGTATGGGGTTCGACGAGTTTATTGCTAGATGCTACTAAGCTATAAAGTTCAGCAGAGATGAACCGACTTTTGTGTTAGTGCACGCACGATCGTGCGTGCAATATAACGTCCAAGAATGTCGGCCAGATGCACGGCTGTGGAATAACCTGCCCAGGAGTTCCTGCCGCGCTGCTTCTTTCTAGGATATTAGGTGTTTTTTTTCTCCTACATCGGGGACGTTTTTCACGTTGACAATAAGGCCAGTGTGCAGTTTGCAGTGGTAGTAACGTGAGTGACTGTGGTTGGTGCATCGTGAGCACACTGGTACCGCCCCTAAGTCGCTTCTTCCCGCATTAGTGCAGAGTTTTCGCCGACTCGTGTTTCGCGCGCGCCTTGATGCGTCGGCATGTAGGATTTGCTGTGATCTTCCGCGTTTTGTTGCCTACATCAGTATCACAGTCGTTAGAGAGACTCCCGTCCCACATTTGCTTCGTTCCGGGGAACGAATGAACAATCCGTGCTGAGTGACAGCGATAATGAAATCTTGGTCCGGGGCAAGTATAGAGGGCGCTGAATCGCAATGCCAAATGATGACGACCACTGTGTAAATTATCTGTAAATAACAGACCGACGAAATGTTCTTGTATATTTTTTATTACTCCCACGTCTTACATCGCGAATCATTTCGCAGCCTCCTCCCACTTGCATGTTCTGCTCTTGCGGCGTTCGGTAGCTAATATTGTGCCCTACTTGCCAGTATTAGTCAAGCTCGAAATCGTTTCACGAAATTGAAAGACCACTGGTGATAGATACTCTTTCAGTTTTCGTCCCCAAGTGAGGGTCACTGCTGTTTATTATTTACTTCAGATGTGACTAACGCTCGCATGTTCGCAACTAATGAATTTCATTATGCCGACAATTTGTAAATATAGGACCTACGATTTTCGCTTGCAATTGTTTACTGGTATTTGATATTATAGTATTGCGGTAAATTTATTTACCTAGTGTCGGTGCCAAATCGGAACGGTTAGTGTTTAGAATTTTTATTGGGTGGAACACGTGTATCATCTAACAATCTAACCTGAAGTATTAGTAGTTGTGTATGGTGTTGTGGAGTATTATTACTCTTTTCAGCTCAGTTGTAAATGTCTTTCAAATAAATCCTTATATATAATGTTTGAAATATTCTACTGCCATGCTTATTTTAGGTGTGTTATTGTTGACGATGATGATGATGATGATGATGATGATGATGATGGTGACGATGATGATGATGATGATGGTGGCGATGACGATGATGATAATGGATGATGTTGATGTTAGTGACGATGACGATGATGTTGTTGTGGTCCTACAGAATGCAGTTCGCATATATGCGCGAGCGACTTCCCTGACTACTGGAAATACAGGTTCCTGTTTTCGCGTTGTGTAGCCGAGTTGAATGTGAAGGTCACATATTGTACCAACAGCTCCAGGAAACGGTATTGCTAGGGTTAGAATACCCCTGTTGTATTGACGTTAGTCACACAGCCTGGTCGGGTTAATTGTACCAACAGCTATATAGTGCATGCATGCGTGCTTTCTTATATCAACATATTTCCGGACGCGAAGAGAATATATATAGATGCTGACACCATCAAAATCAAACCTAACGAGTCCATAATTTGCATGATTTATGCTCACCGTGACGGCTGCATTGTTGAAACATCAACAGAAATGTTACACAGACGCACGCACGCACGCACGCAGACGGGCACGCGCGCGAACACGGACTGTTTACGGATATACCAAGAGTCCAAGAGTACCGTTATCAAAAACATCACACGGCCTGATACATGACATACATTGTATGTCTTAAAAATCTTCTATCTAATGGGGTCACGTACACGGATGCAACTGAATTATCAATAGGTAGAATAAGGAATGACGCATAGTAGCATACTAGAATATCAAAGATGCATGCATATTATGATATAGTTAACATTCCTAGACAGTAGTAATATATCAGATATCACCGAGGTAACCAAACATTCCGAGGAAGCACAGGGGGCGCTGCGCTCAGAGCATGGGGAATGGATTTTATAAAGAAAGCAAAGAGAATAAACGAAAACTTTCTACGAACATGACGCTAGACAAATAGAAGATATAGACATTTGGCATTAACTCAAATATAACTGCCAAACGAGCAAGCTAGCACGTTTACGAGGGAACAATTAACGCGCACAAGTTTAAATAAGGGAACGGCTGCATGACATAGACAAAGGCACATGTGCCTCGACCAGCGCGGTCCTGCATGGATGTCAAGGACCGAGGACAGTATATATATATATAGGCCATCTAGTTCCTGCAACGATTTAATTTTCACGTCCAATGTTCACGATTGACGATCACAAATAACGTGAAATCTATTCGCCGCTCAAGCAGCTATATATATAGAGCTGCCACGAAGCCCCAACATTCCTAGCGACCAAAATAATATTAGAAGGTTCGCCGACCTCTTACATACTAAGCCTGCGAGAACGTCCGAAAGGTTTTGCTCTGCAAGATTAATCTGTTATCCTAAAAATAAACACTAAAATAGGTAAAATTAATCATTGTTACGTTAACATACATAACTACGTTTCATTAATTACCTAATTTACATACGAAAACCCCTTACATCTTCAATTGGTAAATGGTATTATATTAGAGCCAGTAAAAAATCCGTTAAATTTCCTTTTACCGGGCGGCAGTAAACCTAAACAAACATAAATTATTGCCCCGTTAGCATTTCCACAGTGTTACGTACCTGTCATTTCTTCCTCTTTCTATTTCTTTATAATTATTTAATTTTGTTTCATGCTCATATCATTTTTTTATTTATCATTTTTTTCATTCAAGAAACGAGTTTTTACCGTGCGCTACAAGGAAAGGTTAATATGCGCAAACACTTCGCGAATTGTACTTTTGATAGAACATGTCCCAGGCCCCTTGCCAGGCTCCTAGCTGGGACCAATAACAGCTGATCGCTGCGCGTGTGCATGTCTATCGAGGGAGGCATTGGGGGGGGGGGAGCACGTGTTGTTAGGTTGCTATGCAGAAGCACTGCTCAAAAACTGGCAAGAAATACGCAAATGACTCATGTGCAAGTGTAATTTGATGCTTGGCTACGAGCCCAAAAACAGTGACAGGAACTATATGGTTTTAATTTAGACTGGCTCCATATGTCGTTGAGAATTAATCCTGACGAACAGCCAGGGACGTCAAGTCAGTCTAATTCGGTCTGGTGTACGTATTATAAATCACCAATTGTTGCACGAATCAAGCATAAGTACCCACTTTGATATAAAATCTCGTTATCCCGTAAAGGGCTGGACACACTAGGCAATTTCATCGGGCGACTCAATCGCCGGTGAAAATAGCCTAATGTGTCCAGTCAGTCGCCGCCGATTTAGTCGCCCGATTTAGTCGCCCCATTTAGTCGCTCCGATTCAATCGCATGGATCAAAACGTTTTAATATTATCGGGCGATTATTTGAGTCGCGAGACTTTATCGCCTAGTGTGTCCACTCGACTCTCGCGATAAAGTCGCCCGATTAGATCGAATTAAAATCTCCTAGTGTGTACGGCCCTTAAGCTCCACCATGTGATTTCGTTTTATATTTTTTTCTTTATTAGCCGAGGGTGCATTAATTTCGTGTTTTAGTATTACGAGAACATCTTCTGTCGAACGATGTGTTATTATACGAAATTATTACACAAACTGTTAAATTAATTGTTATTATTATTACTTATACTGTACAAAGTATCATTATGGCGATAGGCATTATGAAAATTTTAATATTACCAGCATACATCGCATAATACGTGATAATTATATATATATATATATATATGTGTGTGTGTGCGTGCGTGCGTGCGTGCGTGATTCTGGGGAATCTATTCATCTGTCAATCTATCCATCCATCCACCCAATTCACCCGCTCATCTACCTAGCAATCCAGTGAGCCCATCCACCGTATAAACGTCAACAATTGACTCTGGTTGCATGCACATAACGCGTACAGTACACGTGTACGTTACTCTTCCACATCACGTTTTTGCAAAAGCCTTGGAAAGTGCGGCCGTGAAAAGACAGCGAAAAAAAAGTGTCAAAACCGCATTTTAGAAAGTAGGCCTACGTCTATCGCTGACTATCCTAGCAGCGGCTTGTTTACAAGTTTATGCCTATAGTACTGCTGCACTCAAGTGTTTACTCAACGTTATCTCAACATCATCATTTTTGAATAATCTGGCATTGAAAACTTATAGTTCTGTGCAAGCACAGTATGCATCCGTAGATATTAATAAAATTTATACTATGTGCGCGTGTGCATGCGTGCGTGCGTGCGTAAACAAACACCCGTCCAGTAAAAGATGGGTGCGCGAATCAAAACAAGTTCGTCTGCGACAAGTTTTCAAAAGCAAACACTATTTATTTCGACGTCAGATAATTGCTTGCTGGTTATACAAACCAATAACACACCAGCACACACGCACACCAACACACGCACGTACGCACACACACTGACACACGCGCGCACACACACACGCACGCACAGCCATACGCAGGTACCTACAGCTTATGATGCAAATTGGCCAGGCCTATGAGAACTACATGTACCCAGCTAGCTAGCTGTGCAGATCTTGCACACATACTGGCTAGAATTACAGACACGCTGCAAGAAGAAGCCCTGACGAATTGTAAAGGGACGGACACTTTTACATATCACACCACCTCCCATCCGTTACTACCCCACTACACCACCCACGCTGCTCTCTCCTCCGTCTCTCCCCTCTGCGCCCATTCCCCCATCTCTCCCCTTCATGCTACTGCCTCTCTCCTCTCTGCGCCACTCCTCCCTATCTCTCCTCTCCACGCCCCTTCCCCCATCTCTCCTTTCTGCGCACCTCCCCCATCCCTCCTCTCCACATCTCTCCCCTCCACGCTACTCCCTCTTTTCCCTCCATGCTAACCCTCCCCACCTCTCTTCTTTGCTGCTGCCCCTCCCCCATTTCTCCTCTTTGCGCTGCCCCTCCCTCACCTCTCCTCTCCGTGTCACCCCCTCTCCATTTCTTCGCTCCACGGTACCCCCCCCCCTCCACGTCACTCCCTCTTTCTCCTCTACGCTACCCCTTCCCCATATATTCCTTCTATGCCCCCCTCCTCCATCTCTCCTCTTCGCACCACCCCCTTCCCCTATCGCTCCTCTCCGTGCCACCTCCTCCATCACTGCAGCTTGCGTAGTTGCTCGGCGGGAGGGAAGTACCAGTATGTGCCCGACACGGCGCGCGTAATGCGCATGATATCGTCGTTGACGCGATCGCCACCGCCGCCGCCGCCCACCATGCGCTCCAGCATGAACTCAAAGTTCTCCGGAGCGGCGGCAAAGCCGATGAAGAAGAGACCGGATTCTCCGCTCACCGTGCCGTACGGCATCGACTGTCGCACGATCTCGAACTTCTTTGGATGATCGAACGCGTGGCCTGTGTGTGTGAGAGAGAGAGAGATGTTGGGAGGAGTCAGCACACGGCAAGAAATCTGCAACGCAAAAATATGCAAAACGGCGAGAGAGGGAAGAGAGCACACAGAAACACAGTGCCTTCATGAATTTTCAGCATTTTTGCGGGACGCAGAGTTGCATGATTTTTCAGTGTGTACACCAATGGATTTGAAGAAACTGACAATGGCGCATCTATGGATGCGTATTATTGTATGAACAAGGTATTACATGAGTGTGCCGCTAAATGGAAGCAACGCGTTGCCTACAACAGAACAATGGATACGAATATTTATCATTATTTAAACGTCACATCATTTATAGCACACGCATGGAGACGAATCTAGGACGCGGTTACCAGCAAAAACTGCATAAACTATAATAACTATAACTATTACTTTCTCACCCATTATCAGATATTTCCGTGAGTGTGGCAACAGTTCACACACATGAGTTAAACTATTCTTTTATGAGAAACCTGCACCAATTAAACACCTCCTTCCAAATTAGTAATAAAACCCATCTATAAACAGCCACCACGAGTCTGCTTACATAATATTACTTTCACAGTAGTTTGATGAACTTTATTCGTAGCGGAACTGCATGAGAGAAACTTGCTAATGTGAGAGCCGTGTGTGCGATTCAGATTAACGGGCGTGGCAGCCGCACATAACTAGGGCAAAGCAATCACATGGCCGCTGCCAATGACTCTAGTGTGACTAACGAATTGAATCCCTCTCCAGTCTAAACGAAGCTAATCGTGTCTGATGTCACGGATGAATTCACCGACGACGACAATTCGGATTACGTGAGTTCGGTTACGAGGTTTCGGCCGCGACAGGCGAATTAGGTTTATGAGATAGACGTGTGAGAGAGATGTGTCAGAGAGACATATGAGATAGACATGTAAGAGAGAAACATGAGATAGTCTTGCGAAAGAGACACATGAGATAGCTGTGTCAGAGAGACACACGAAATAGTCCTGTGAAAGGCACATAGCCCTGCGAAAGAGACGTATGAAATAGCTGTGTCAGAGAGACACATGAGATAGTCCTGTGAGATAGACGTGTGAGATAGACGTGTGAGACGGGTAGGACTGTGTACCTCCGGTCATGCGCGCGACGTGGGAGGAAGCTGGTTTGACGGGTAGCTCCACGCTATCATCCATGCTGCGGCCAACAAACTTCGACAGTGTGGCGTCTGCAATAACAATAAAACAGCCAGCGATGTAACGATGCATTGAATGATGAATGCATGAATGACTCCTCGTAAATTATGAACAATTTTAATTTCAACTAGTAAGTTTTCAATGAGGTAAACAACAGGTTTGTTACTATTCGTCCTTATATCCTATACCAGGGCTGTAGCTAGCAGGGGGAGGGGGCAAGGAGGCAGTTACCCCACCAGAAAAAAGTAAATGGTCAATGTGGTCACCTTCCCAGAACACATCATCATGCACATGGCTTTGCCCTCCCCCACCAGAAAAAAAATGAATTAGCTACGCTCCTGTTTACGTAATAACTTGCTGACAAGTAAGGCAGACGCTCTTTGACACGAAATACTAACTGACCACGTGCTGCCACCTATCGGTCGGTAAAGTGTATATCACGTTAACATTTGCGATAATAGATTACTGTTAATTCACAGCCAGATACGATGTGAGCCAAAAGCAAATCAGGACTAATATATCCTATCTAAATGCATGTGCTATTAAACACATCTTATCCAGTGTGCTTCATGAATGTATGTGTCCACGGACAACATTTTTATGTTATTTCCCCTTTTTTTTACCTCCTTTCTCTCTCTCTCTCTCTCTCTCTATCAAGTTCAGCTCACTCGTATAGTACAAAAGTGAAGGGATTGACTCTATCCTATGCATATAGTTATCCGAAGATCATAAAATTCAGCTTAACACACAATAAAAATACAATTATTAAATTACATTACAATAAAATCTATACATATTGCTTGGAAATAGCGCACCTTTCTCTTTTTTTATGTCATCAAATTTGTGGATCCATCTTTGAGTGATCTAGAGTGGTGATTGTAACAAGTAAAAATTAGTTGCACAGGAAGAAAGTTGCTGGCTTCTATAAATCTGTTATCTATGGAAATCTTGCATCAACTCTCTTCTCATAAACAGCACAGGGTTCGACTAGTAAAGATACGACATGAAGACTGTGGTGCCCTATATAAAACATGGCAATGTCTTAAAGATGCAGACCTTTGTGCCCACAGAGGCTTGACAACCAGTCATGGGTTTTGTCAAGTTACAGGAAGGAGAATGCGTGCATGCTTGCATGTGTCACCGAGTGCGTGCGTGCGTGCAAGCGTGCTTGCTTGCATGTGTGACAGAGTACGCGCGTGCGAGTATGCGTGCGTTTGTGCGCGCGTGCGTGATGAAAACGCACGTTTCTAAAGACTGACACTACTGTAAGCTCCATTGCTGCAATCACTGCCATCGCTGCCCCTACAAAAATCTGATCGGAGTTTTTAAGACGGCCAATTTCACCCATGAATGACCTATCTGCCTGATCACGAGCGAGAATATGTCACCCAACCACGGATAATGTTGCTAGGTTGGTCAAGCTAGAACTGTTTGCACGCTTTACTTACGCCTGCACGCCAAATTGTCGATTTCCCGATACTTCATTGCCAAGCATCATCTTTTAGAACATCTCAAGACAATGCTGACTGGCTGGATTGGCTGTCAATCATGCCAGGCTGAGAGGTTAACTGGATTTACTCACATCATTGAGCGCTGGCTGACACTAATATTCATATTTATAGATATTTTATATCGATATATATTTACTCACACAGTAGCTTCCACCCGTTTCTTTATTGACGGCTACCTCAAACCTCTCATCCTCATCGGCTCGGTTCTCTGTTCCTGCAAATTACAAGCACTCCGAAGACTTAGCGCCAGTGGCTGGAGGGAGAAAAATGCCAGCGTGGCCACGAAGACGCATACAATGTTAGAATTGGCGTCAGAAATCTATGGTAACCTCACTGGATCCAGAGATGACCACAAGCTGTGTGTATCATTCATAACTATGGTAACCTCATGCAATCCAGAGGTGACGAAAAGCGCTGTGTATCATGCGTTACTATAATAACCTCACTCAATTCAGATACGACAACAAGTGATGTGTGTGTCCTGAGTAACCTCGCTCACTCGCTAAAGCCGACGATGTCGCACGCTCCGCGTACCATCTATGAATCCGGATAGATCTCGTCCGTTGCGAAACACAAAGCTGTAGGTGTCCGACCAATCGCGGACGGCGGCGCGCGGCATCTGGTCGATGACGCGCTTTGTCAGCTCGTACAGTTTGCTCACACTGTTGCTCTTCGCGTGAATGAAAATGTCGCCACCTGTCGTCGCAGGAAAGATGCGCGTTAACGCCACGCGAATTCTCCGTTCACTCACAATGACGATGATTGCGGGGACGAGATAGTGAATTAAGAGAGAGGTGTCTTCTCTCATTAAAATAGCATAAGTATTTGTGAGTATAATATAAGACATAAAAATAATACAAGACAATGAGTTATATTAGACAAAAAATGTAATAACTTTTGCAGGACACCTCGCTGCAAAAAGTCATGACGGTTTAGATTTGTGACGTCATATAACTACTTATGTTGTATTTGATCGTCAAACCAAATGTCAAATTTTCAAAGACAGATGTCAGCACAGTCACGCATTACCGTGCAGCACAGCGTCAACAAGAATAATCACTAAACATAGTGATAGCCATCTGTAAGTGTTGTATTATGAGAGTGTCTCACCGGTGCTTGGCAGGTCCCCGTGCGCTCCCTTCCTGTGAGGGTATGTAAAGGACTTCTTCGCCTTTCCCCAAACCTGAAACGGTAGCAGAAATGTTGCAGAAGTTAAAAAAGATTAGTGGAGGAAATTGAATAAGCGACATATTCATCCGAGTGTAATAATCATGTCACCTTGGCATATTGTTTCTATGTTGGTTGTTTGGTTGGCTGTTTTTCACTCGTTCGCGCCAAAATGTCGACTTTGCCACAACTTTATGCTAAGCATTGATTCTAGAACGTGCTATCACACACTGATTGGCTAAGGCTAGCTGTCAATCAAGTTTGGCAGATAAGTAAATTTCCCATAAGCATAACAACAAAAGAGCAGCTTATGAATTACTGACTAACCCACCACGAATACACTAATTGAAGGAACAATGAGTCAACTACAGGAATGGACACGAACATAAGGCCTACAACTGACGAAACTCCATCACTCATTAATTATTACCTTCATAGAACGACCTTCAAAGCCATGAACTACACCACTGACCCGCACGTTCAAAACAAAGCAATAACGAAATAAAATTCCTTCCAGCAAAACTCCAGAACAATCAAAACTCGCAAAAATAATCTGAACGTCAAACTATTCGCCTTACGAATGAGTTTTTTCTTCTTTGTAAAAAAAAGATTACGTCCTTAACTGAGCTAGAGGCCGGCTAGAGGCAAGCTAAAGGTCAGCTATGGGTTAGCTAGAGGATAGGTAGAGGTCAGCTAGAGGTAATATAGAGGTCACGCGTATGTGCATCCCCACCTGTGAGTAAAACTTGGGTCCGAACCCGACACCGGCCCATATCTCGTCGTCTTCGTCGCTGTCTGCCGCCGGCGAGACTGCCTCAACATCCTGCTGCAGGTTCGCTGCTGCCTGTTAACGCAAGAACCAACTCAGATAGAGTGTTGCTGGGTCGTTATTACAATGGTATAGGTGTATAGGCTGGTCAGTGGTCAGCAGGAAACCTATATCATCTAACACGACCTCAACATGAAATACACAAACGTTGTATTTACTCAGATAGAGAGAGAGACATCTGGCCATTATTCGATGGCCTGTCCGCGAGTACAGGACGGCGAAATTTTTAGACGATGCATTTTTCAACGGGCAGAGAAATTTTGCGTGAAAATATTGCGCTGCTTGATCGTTTGAAAGAAATGTGCCGCTCAGAAATGTCTCTGTAGGAAATTGTATAAAATTTCCAAAAATCGCGTTTTCGGCGCTTGCATTCTTTAATGTTATCAGGGGGTAGATAATAGGGCTGTAACGATCCAACGAAATCAAATCGGATCGAGATTCTCTTCCCTCGACCGATCCTCGATATTTTTCCCCGTATTTTCGATACCACTTTTTCCCTCCAATAGATGGCGGCACTACGCTATATACTGTGGAGTGTTGATTTATATGCTCTGGTGTTACTCACCAATGTTACTCAGCAACTGTGCAGTGTATATATACTCTCTAGACGCTCTATTCCCCATTTAGTATTCATTGACAATTTCTAATAATTCATTATTGCAAAATAATGAAAATATAAAAAATAAGATAACATTTCAATATTTTGGGAATCGAATCGAAGGAATCGAATCAAGAGTCTAATATCGAGAACCGGATCGAATCGAAAGGCTTGTGTATCGTTACAGCCCTACTAGATAATGACAAATTTGTGATTACCTACCCCTGATATTATCATTATGGCACCCTGTATTCAGACCTTGACCAAACCCCCTGGTGTAAAGGTAAACAATAGTACGAGTAGACGGTATAGGTGTATGGGCTGGTCAGTGGGTAACCTGTATCTTCTAACGCTGAGAGGGTGTATGTCCCCCAGGGTACTGCTGGAACGTACCCTGGTACCAGAGCATATAAATCAACGTGATTTATATGCTCTGCCAGACCGTACCTCGCCTACTCTACAAACGAGTCTAGGGAGTCGCCTACGCCTACTCCCTAACCCTAACCATATCAGATAGTTACCTCAGGTACATATATGTCACCTACGCCTACGCCTACTCCCTAACCCTAACCATATCAGATAGTTACCGGTACGTTCTGGTATACCGGACTGTACCCAGGGTACGTTCCGGCTGTACCCTGGGAAACATAGACCCTATGAGCTCTTCTAACACACCCTCTAGATGAAACACACGAACGTTGTATTTACTTGAAATCAAAACATACCAAACACTTTCCCTAACCCTAGCCGTAACCATAACCTTCAGTCTAGCTAGTCAGCTCTATAAAAGTATTTGCTAATACAGGTTTGAGTGCGTGTAACTATTTATACCTTTGCACATGCTTTGAAATCGGCATCGGGATTTAGATGGATCCAGATGTAGACAGCATGATCTTTTGTCTGAGAGTAGACCTATAGAAAGCAATTGTGTTGATAGGGTGACATCTTAGTTTGTGATGGAAACGTGACATCAAAAATGCAAATACATGTGCATGTACAGGGTGCGAAATTAATGGGAGTCCGGAGTCAAATACTCCCTGATTTGACATATGCAGGAGTCCGTGTGACTCCCTGAAAATTCTGCGATACTGACTAGTTCGTTCCGGAGCACGGCCTCGCGGAATTACCGTATTTTTTCAGCTAATGTCCCAAGAAAATTTGGCAGACGTGCAACGGCATGAATCTTAAAAATAAGCCCATCCGTTATTGTTAATATCTTTAATTTTGAACCTCAGACTGCGGACTCCCTCTTTTTTTAAACGTCTTAATTTCTACCCCTGCATGTATGTTTCATAAATTACAATATATCACTGGACATCAGTCTGAAACTGCAGTCAATCCTGATCTTAAGACAAGATCAAAGATTTAAGTTAACATTAAACGGTTTTAATTCTACTGTATAACCAAAGTCAAATCCATTAAAAGTAGCCAGTTCTGCTCAGTGCAAGACTGGGGACTTGCTATTATTTCCAACCATGATGAATGTTACTACGACTACTGCAGGGCTCATACATCCCAGTCTGCGACTCACACCTACATTGGGTTGCGGGGTTCCGCCAGCCTTAGCGGCAGCCTGCACCGTCTGTAGGAGTCCATCACTGCCTCCGACCTCACGGTAGAGACCGTAAACCCCGGCCGCGGTTATGGCTCCTAACACCAGGGGGCGTGCAACAGCGAAGGCTGCAGCGTTACGGCCGCTGGTGGAGAGGAGGCGTCTACCTGCGTATGTCGTGGAAATGTTGAGTTCAACACTGCACCTAGTGTGCCATGAAAACTTATATTAATAGAATATAAGAATATAATGAAATATTATAGATACATTCATTAGTTATATACATAAAACTATGTGTATATATATATAAGAACAACTATCTATATTGTGTAACAATGTAACATAGCTATGCACGCTCCTTGTCCAATTACCTACAGGGGCGTGTCCAGGATTTGTACCAGGGGGGGGGCCTAACCGGAACCCAAACGGGTTTGTCTATATTCAGGCCGGTACAGGAGATAATTTGCATATTTTGTCACGTGGTTTGTGTTATAACCAATCAGATGTAATCGCGTGTGTAAGGAGGAGGGGGAGAAGGGAGAAGGTGGTGGAGGAGGAGAGGGAGAAGCTGTGGAGGAGGAGGGGGAAGAAGCTGGTGGCGAGATGAGGACGGGGAGAAGGGAAGCCTCCTTCGCTCCTTCTCCACAGCTTCTTCCCCTCTCTCCTTCCTCCACCAGTCTTCTCGCCTATCGCTCATTCTGCCACCAGCTTCTCCCTTCCTCATTCTCCAAACCAGCTTCTCCCACCTCGCTCCTTACTCCCACCAGCTCTCCCCCTTTCCGTCATTCTCCACCAGCTCTCCCCTTGCTCTCATTCTCGACACCAGCTTCTCACCCCTTCCTGCATTCTCCACCGAGCCTTCTCCCCTCTCCCTTCTCCCACCAGCTCTCCCCCTCCTCCTTCTCCACCAGCTTCTAACCGTGCCATCCTTCTCCACCCACCTTTCTCCCATTCTCCCTCCTCCATCCTTCCCCTTACTCACCCATGCTTCACAACTTCTGCTGGGGATATAACACCAAACCTATAACTTCATTGGTTATAACACAAAACCACGTGACAAAACATATGCAAATTATGTCCTGTAACCGCCTGAATATAGACAAACCCAACCCACACTTTGCACAGCACCGCGAAAGGGAAGGGGGCCTCCCCCCAATTTTCTGCGTGAGCCAGGGGGGGGCCTCGGACCCCCTGGGCCCCCCCGCTGTACACGCCGCCTGACCAAGATGGACTAAAAACAACATGTGTTTATTTCAGTCTCTGATTGCATGAACCTCCCTCACAACTTATCAATAAACATCATCAGGTTGATATTATATACACGCGCGAATCCCTATACCCAACCCGGGTTTGTCTATATTACAGGCGCGTACAGGAGAAGATTTGCCATATTTTATCACGTGTTTTGTTATAACGCAATCAGATGTAACATCGGCTGTTGTGTCGTCACTTCCAGCTGTGAAGAAGATGGTGAAGGAGGAGAAGGGGAGAAGGGAGAAGGTGGTGGAGAAGGAGGAGGGGAGAAGCTGGTGGAGAAGGAGGAGGGGAGAAGGGAGAAGGTGGTGGAGAAAGAGGAGGGGAGAAGCTGGTGGAGAAGGAGGGAGAAAAGGGAGAAGGTGGTGGAGGAGGGGGAGAAGCTAGTGGAGAAGAGGGGAGAAGCTGGTGGAGAAGAGGAAGGGGAGAAGGAAAAAGGTGGTGGAGAAGGAGGAGGAGAAGCTGGTGGAGAAGGAGGAGGGAGGAGAGCTGGTGAGAATGAAGAAGGGAAGAAGGGAGAAGCTGGTGGAGAAGGAGGAGGTGGTGGAGAAGGTGGTGGAGAAGGGAGAAGGTGTGGCCAGGGAGAAGGACACCTCCCTGCCACCTTCTCCACCAGCTTCTCCCCCTCCTCCCACATCGCTTCTCCCGCTCCTCCACCACCTTCTCCCCTCCTCCTTCTCACACCAGCTTCTCACCCTCCTTCTCCACCGCGATTAATCTGATTGGTTATAAACACAACAGCGTGACAAAATATGCAAATTACTCCCTGTACCGGCCTGAATATAGCCCGGCCCCTCCACTCAGTGTTATTTAGGTACGCATATGCTCGTTCCCTCCCCTTTGAAAGCACCCCCCTATCTCAGGACTGCCAAAATTTTTGAACCCCCCTTTCGCGGGCTTTTGCGGGTTTTTCCTGCATTGGAGAACCCCTAAATCCGGCACACTACGTATAGACTGGTACCCGTTCGCCAACCTCACTGCCGATACGTATGCCTCGCTACACTGACGTGTAGTGACGTTAGTGTAGGCGTGTGGAACTGTCGACGCGCGGGTACCAGTCCTACAATCACTACGTAGATTGACAGTTCAGTGATCGAGGGAACTAGGGAGCAAATATTTTTTTTTTTTCAAATGAAATCAATCCTGAATGAGACTTTCAAAAACTAGCAGGAATTTCAGGAATTTGATCTTCAGGATTGATAAAGTTTTCCTATGAATCAAGATGAAAGAGAGAGAGGGAAACACCCCCTCTTTTAAAGAAATCTCTCGGGGTGAAAAGTCAAATACACCCCCTTTTTTTAAAATCAATTCTTGGGACCGAATTTTGTCGGCGCGAAAAAAATACCCCTTTACCGGAGATTTTGGGAAGCGCCATGCGTCCTCGCCGACCTCGGAGTGGGGGGGGGGGGGGGGGCGAAAATGATAGACAAACCCAACCCAGCCATGTACACTTTAATATCCATTAACAAATTGACATTATTAAAGAATAGGGTGTGGACAAAAGTGATGAAGGGGGCGGTTTTTTCCCGGTGTGTAAGCCAGCTGATATATAATACAATAAATTCGCAACCGCTGGCTAAATGTCAAGGTTACCCTTGCAAGTGGCCAGCGTGTCACTCAGGTACAGTACTAACCCGACCAGGCTGTGTGACTAACGCAATGCTCATCCTAGGCAATACGCGGTTTCTTGGAAGCTAGACATACCAGTACGTGTATCTATTATAATATCATCAACGTACCTGTGTAATTTGCTCCGGTCTTTGAGGCGTGTCTGAGGCAGACGACGCGCCAGAGTCCGTAGACGGCATTCACGATGACGTGCGCCCGAGTTGAGTCTGTAGTGATAACTACAGCGAGGCTATCAAATCACAGGCAAAACAACCGACAACTGCTGTTGTAGGAATGTCTCTCCTAAGTTCGCCTGTGTGTGTATGTATCCTGTGTGTGTATGTAAGTACAACGTGTGCGTTACGTACACTGCCTGCCTAATCACAGATTATTACCAAATACCAAACACACAGCGGCAGCGAGTGCGTATAGAGAGGATGCGCCGCTGCGTAGTTCGTTTGTGGCGGTGGCTTAATACTAGGCTATTTCTCTCATCTCTCTCTCTCTCGTCGCACTCTCTCCGCTCTCTCTCTCTCTCTCTTCTCCTTCTGCTCTCGATGGCTAAAAGAAGGCCGGTCACGACGACTGCGTTTGCTCTCTGATATTACCGCGTGGAAAAAGCAGCTGCGTAGAACGGCAGTACACTGTCAAGAACTCACTGTAGCTGCGTGGGAAAGCACGACAGCGAGTCGCAGGTTAGGTGAACAGTCCTCGCGTAACTCCTTCGTCTGACACGGCATTCACTTGAACTAGGCGAGATAGATAGTGAGAGACTGTACGCTGAAAAAATTAAAATTTGCACGCTCGCACTGACGGTTTATAATTACTTCCAAGACAAGCATTACTGCGCTTGGGTCCGAATACGCACAGTCTGCTGACTGGCGATTGCACAATGAGCGGGCAGCGCTGAGCTGCTAGGCAGTACGGTTGAGGGGATCGGCTTAGGTGCGGCCAGGTAAATAAAAATGTTCCGAAGTGATGACACATGATAGTGGCGATATTTGCGATAGTAGGATTCACGGACTGCGAATTAATAACAATCGGAAATCGTCTGTAATTAAGATACAACTCCAACCCCTAACTGTAACCATAAGTCTAATCGCTGTTTTTTTGGTTTTTTTTTTTTTTTTTTTTTAATTCATCATAACAGAAGAACTGAAAAAAATTTCAAGGACTTGTTAAAAGGACATTTTATCAGAAATTCAAGGACATTTGATCGGTATTCATGTACACAGAAAAAAACATACCTGGATTAATTTAATATAACCAGCCGATTGCTTAATCACTGGCCAGCCTCTAAAACTTACCTGGATCACCTTAATAAACCCTTCTAAACACTGTCCAGCTTCCGTGACAACATACCTTGCTTTAGCTGACTGATTTTGACTGACTTACTGTAATTTTGTGATCATCATTTTAACTGTCATCTGTGGTCTATAGCTTTTAAGCTCATTTGAGCGCATTTTTTATGAGGTTTGCACCATTAATTGATGGTACAAAATTTCCTTTTTGATTACAGGCAAGGATTTTTTCTAAAAATTCAAGAACTTTTCAAGCACCAAAAAATCAGCAACCATTTACTAAATTCAGTAACTTTTCAAGGACATCCACATGCAAATTCAAGGACTTTTCAAGGACTGGTGCGAACCATGTAAATCCTAATCGGCAAGCCATAGCCATAACCATCACAACGAGAAACGAACTTTGATCGTAAATAACACCCAAACGACGCCTAAATTGCGCGCCGCGCGTAGGGTGAGACACTTTTTTATGATACCGGGGAGGACTGGTGAAAGATCCGCAGAGCGAGCCTATACGTGTCATATGCTGTGTGTGTGGTGTGTGTGTGTGTGTGTGTGGCGTGCGTGCGTGCGTGCGTAGCGTGCGTGCGTGCGTAGCGTGCTGTAGTCCAAGTGGTAGTGATCAGTTAACAGCGCGCGAGCTAGATACAGGGTTGTACAGTGGATCTCGTTAACAATAAACATGTAAAACACACTCACACTCCCGCGCAACGTACTCATTTTTTAATGTTCTTTATATACACATAAAAAGCGGCGATCATAAATAGATTAGTAAGAATCACAATAACCAACGATTGATAAACTAATTAAACGTGTAAACGTTGGAATTAATATGAATAAATTGGACACAAACGAGTTGAATAAACAATGCACATCAGAAACTGTTGAATTAATCACCGCTATAGCGTTAATTATATTAATTATTATTTAATAAATTATAAGATTAGAAATATATCACTAAATTATCTACAATGTAGGCAATTTTAAAACAAAGTGACATAATACTGCATCAGCAGCGTGTAACATGCATACATGCAACGTTTTGGTAATTTATTCACAGATCGTAACGCACTACGTTCATTGGTTAATCGTATCTTAAGAATAATAATGATGTTAAATTAAATCAGCAAGAATTTGGAAGTTAAATTTAAGGTTTAAATTGGTGCAGGAGATGTTCGTTAGTTCCAGATAAAGACAGATCTGCAAAAGCATATAAGCTTTTGGCTCTGTTGGCAAGTTGCTTGGTGTAAACTATGACAGACGTCCCAGATATCGCTTGTTCCGAATTCATGTCAGCTGTTAGCAGATTCCTTATTTGCTGGCGGCACAGTAACTGCTGCCCAGTTTTTCTGCTGTCAAGCAACAATAGTGAAAGATTCTTTCATGTCATGGCAACTGTGTGCAAATATGTGTGTTCCTCTGTGCCAAAGTATTTGATTATTACTCCTCCTTCGCAGCAGTGACCTGTCCCAGCTTCCTTTTCTTTCCACAGCATTCGACTAAGGAGCATGCCATTACCCAGCAACTGAACACAACAATCACCTATATCTCTGCTCTATCTCTCTGCAACACACACACCACACACACACACACCACACACCACACACCACACACACACAACACATCACACAGCCGCACCCATCACACACAACCACCACACCTAAACACAGCGCACACACACACACACACACGGACACACCACACACACACACACACACACACACACACACACACACAGACACACGCACACACACAACGACGACGGCACACACATCACATGCAGCGCACACACAACGAGCACACACCACACGCACACATAACCCACTCTCTCTCTCACTCTCTGTCCAGGCCTCCACACACGCACGCACGCACCACGGCACAGCAGCGCAAGCACACACACACACACACACCACACACACTCTGCTCTCGTCTTCGTCTTGAATCTCTCTGCTCTCTGTATTAGAGAAATAATACTTGATCTTCCAAATCAGCAGACATTAACGCTTGCATCTGAGCGATTGGCGCTGCTTGCCGGCGGCCAAAACGCAAGCACTTCCTCGTCCCTCCCAGCGGACGTGTCGGCTGTGAGCTCAGCCAGCTTCCACACGCCCTGCAGACGTCTCCCTCTCGCTCTCGCTCACGCACTCTCGCCGCATCCGCCGGGAATCCAGAGCGTAGAGGTCATGACCCGCGTTCTGCACATGACCCCGGATGTAGAGGTCATGACCCCGGATGTAGACGTAGAGGTCACATTAGTAGCCACCTGTGTGACGCTTGAAATGCGACCTGTCACACGTGACGCGGAATTCTCGGCTCATCATGCCGACGCGAGAACGCGGCAACGAAGGTGATGGCGCACGGGGATGCGTCGCAGCGCCCCCCTACTGGTTAACAAGCAAATTCCTCGTCGCTCACCACTTTTTCATCATCGCGATCTTTGCCAACTGCGGCGCGGCGTGAGGGCTTCACTTCTCACCGCCAGAGGGCAGCACCCGTGTGTGCCGGTACGTCACTGTACCTGCACGCCACTAGATGGAGCGCAGCAGTTGCGTGCTGGTGGCGCTGGTACAGGTATTATCTCCACTAGTGGTGACGGTGGAGTCTTTCGTCCTTATCTGATGGGCCAGCGGAGAGTCCGCGGGAAGCCATGCTGCGATTGAGTTCCCTTGTCGGGCAGCGATCGAAGGCTGGCTCGCCGCCACACTTTGCCTGCGTAATATTAGCTACGCCTAGTGGCAATCAAACGCAAGCACATAGGCAGGTAGGTACGGAGGACAGAGGCCTTCAATAATTCTTCAAGCCTGGACGGCAAGGAAATGTGTAGAGAAGAAAAATGTCGGTGTGGGTACGACTAAGATACGCGTCCAATTGCTCTATCCGCCGTGGCGTGACAGCAGGTTCTAAAACAATGTGTAGCAACGAAAGTGGAGCAAGTCAGCAAGCGTGTGAGACAGGTGGATACGCGCGAGCTTGATAAGCGAAAGCAGCACGGTTAAGGGCAGGAAGCTTACCGTCGTCGTTGCCGTGGCGAGAAATTTGGGAATCCACACTTGTTGTCATTCGCCGTGGCGACGGTGGGATGCGAGGCATCACCGAACGCGTCGTCGTCGCCATGGCGATGGAGGGGGCCCGGCAGCTGCAGGCCGTCAATCCACGCTCTTGCTCGACTTTTCTCAGCGTCTTCACCATCTTATAACGTCGTGTGACGTGCCATGGATTGTGTGCCCTAGCACTCACTGATCCACCGCCAATGGGAGCAAGCACAGCGCTGTACGGGAGTTATCAACGATTTAATTAAAGCGGAAATTATTATTTAATCAATTGATACATTAATTAAATATATCAAGGTATATAATTGCGACATGACATTTTAAGCAATTAATAATGCAATAAGCCATTTGTCATAGATATGTGATTTAGACTTATCAACATAGATTTCTAGATGAGATGAGTGGGGCAGATTATTTGTGATCTACGTGATGTTTTTACGCTTATTTTAGGGTAATTTAGGTATCAGGTCAGGTAAATTAGGTTTCATTTATTGTTTATTAATTTTTATTGTTCCCCGGAAGCTAACAGTCAGCTGGCCCCCCTTTCACCAAGGCCTTAGGTAAGTGCAAGCGAGATAGAGAGAAAAGTGATTTGAGATGGGACAGAGATAGAGAGAGAGAGAGAGAAAGAAAAGTGTGAGTGACGAGATCA